AAATGGATTCCTTGAAAGGTTCCTTTTTTCAGATTAGGAAATAAAAAGCGGACGAGCCGGATCAGGCCTGTCGGGTCGATGTTTACTGTCGCCCATAGCAACTCACACGTTTGGCCTTGTTTGCTGAGAAGAAGGAGCAGGACCGTTGCCGTGGTGGGAAAGAGCTCTGTGGTGCTTTCTCTGACGCTTTCACCTCCTTTCTCAAAACACTCCCATCAGACGCATCGTTGCGTGGCCCTCCAGGAAGATAACAAGCCAAATGTCTAGCGCACCCCGAAACACTGTTGCTATGGATGACCTTGGCTCTGCATCAGTTGGTGTTGGCCTTGACTGGGCTACGTCCACGTCTTGGTAGCCATGGCTCTGGATGTACTTTAATCCTCAGGACTGTACAGTAAAGCCACGTTTCATTTCCTGTTACAGTTCTTCCAAGAAATGCTTCCAGATCTTGATTCCACTTGTTCAACATTCCTGTTGAAAGCCATGCTCGAGTCTGCAGTGGACCTGGGCCTAATAGTTTGGGCAGCCCCTGAGCAGAAAGTTTGTGCAACTTTAATTTTTCAGTGGGAATTGTGTAAGGTGGGTCACTCGAGCTGGGTGTGGTGTTGACCATTACTCTGCTGTTAATTGTTAGTGCTGTCAGTTGGGGCACCGACGAGACTGTAATTCTTCTCTTGTAAATGGATGTGGATGGCCTGCTGCAGGCATCATCTTCAGTCTCGTCCCGTTTTAGACGGAGTCATCCATTTGTGAATGGGTTTCTGTGGACGGATTTCTTTGGACGTTGTCACCATAAACTCTTCATAGAGCACCAGTGGCTTCACCATTCGTCATCCAAGCTTTGATGCTTATTTTTGCTTCCGTTTTAGCAGAATTCCTGTTTCTTTTCCAGCTGGCAGCTTATTCCTCTCTGTGCTGCAGGCTGGAGCCTCTTCAGACATGTCATAGCCAGGTAGTGTGAGCTGAAATCCATGCATCATGTTTTCATAGTCAGCGTTTTCTGTGAATTCTTTTGAAGGCCCTGCAGATCCTTCTGAAGGCAGTCTTCCCATCTCTAACCCTCCTCTGGAGAATTCTGCCCTCTCTGATTTGCACCACGTCGACATGGGAGCTTCAGCATCCTCGAGGGACTCAGATTGCGTTCCTCTGAATGTTCTTTGAGTTTGAGGCGCAGAAAGAAGTATCTGAAGGGGCAAGATCGGGGCTGTGGGATGGATGGAGGAAGCTTTCTCAATGAAACCCTTTGAGGCCAGCCGTGGCCACCCCTCGCCCACTGCCATGGAAGAATGAGCCGGTGCCTTGCTGTGATGGAGAGAAAATCGTTGCCACAACTGTCCTGGCCTTTGGATCAGCAGCCCCGTTTTGAATATTCTTAAAGCATCTTCCCAATAAGCTCCCGTGATCATCCCGATCCTTCAAGGACATCTGTCAGAAGGACCCTTTTGGAGTCTCAGAAACAGTGTCCATGGTGAGCTGTCCTCGGTCCAGCAGATGCCCTAAGAAGGCACTGTGTTGAGTGACCTTTGTTTTTGAAAGCGCCTGCAGGAGTCAGAGTCCAGGCTGTTACCGAGAGATCTGGTCCGCAGCCATCTACTTGATGCAGAGGTCTTGAAATACATCTGTGGAGCACCCACAGACCCAGTGGGGCCCAGTGGCTGTGTGAGACTGACTCAGGACACGCTCTTTTTTTTTGCTGGCCCCTCTACTGTCCCACGCCTGTTGTCCTCCTCCAGGGACTGATCCCTCTTGATACCATGTCCAAAGAGCTCGCCATCCTTGCCTCTGAGGAGCATCCTGGCTGTGCTTCTAAGACAGGTTTGTACCTTCTGGCAGCCAGGACCAGGACACGGACAAGGTACAGTCAGTCTGGATGAGCACAGGTTCAAGAACTTTGCCAATACCGTAATGCAGGTGCTAAGAGATTCTATCTTCCCCCTGCCCCCCAGCTCTCAAAAGCTCATATCCTCCCTGACGCGATCGCAACATTGTTCATCCTAGCAGCTGTGATGAGCTGGTGGGTTTCTTTCCTCTGTTTCTCAAAGGTCTGGGCCACTGGGCAGCTCCTGGCTTGCTCTCCTGACTTGTGGCAGTGGGCTCTTCTCAGCTCTGTCCCAGTTTGCTGCTGCGAGTCTGCAAACAGCTGGGAAAGCAGAGAGCCAGCGTTGTTAGGACCAGTGACCGCCGTCAAGTTGATTCCGACTCGTGGGACACCCCCACCCCACGTGGGTCCGAATGGAGGTGTGGTTTGCAATGACCGCCTTTTCAGAAGTAGACCGCCGCACCCTGATTCCCAGGCACCCCTGGGTGCCCTCAGGCGCAAGCCCCCAGCCTGAGCTCATCGGTGGTGTGGGGGCTGCGTGTTGGGTTACCCATTCGAAGCCACCAGCCGCTCTGAGGGAGCCTTTCTGCTTCCTAGAGAGTGATGGTCTCCGGAACCCACAGGGGCAGCTCTGCCCTGTCCTGCAGGGTCTCCGTGAGTTGGGAGCGACTTGATGGCCGTGGGTTTCAAAGCTCATTAGAAATGGAGCTAAACTGGGGCGGGGGTGGTTCTGCGGAACGCACAGTGCCCAAGATCAGTGACGCCTCTCCTTCTGGAAATAGGCTCGGTGAAGGACAGCAGGGGTGAAGGGCCCACAAAGAGCTGTGGCCTTACCTGGCCCTTGATAGTGGAGGTCCGCTTCCTCCTGCCACCGCCCGGCAGCCTCACTGGTCGCCCAGGAGGTGCGTGTGACACTCGGTAACCGCCAGTGCTGGGGGTGGGGGTGCATTTATCTCCCACAGGGTCCGGAAGGCAGGGCCTGCAGAGTCTCCCAGGGTTGGTCATCAGGGGCTACCAACCTGTGTGGGGGCGGTTCACAAAGAGGAGTGAAAACAAGACAGCAGGAGTGACGGGGAGGAGGTGCTTGACACTGGCTGACGGCTCTGTGCACCCTTTCCTTGTTTTCATCGCCGGAAGGCTGTCTCTGGGAGGCCAGGCTGAAAGCCATTCATTCTTGGCTCTCTGGTCTTTGGCTTGGCATGATGATCCGTAAAGAAGCCGAAATTTGCTGCACAACTGTGTAATCAAAGAGGGATCTCGATCTGTTCTGTGTCTGCCCCCAGTGTGAGTGACCCAAGGCGTGACACCCACGTCCCCACCCTTGTGAGGCTCTAAAGCTCACGTCAGGGTGCCTGCAGAGAAGGCGCCAGTCTCAGCATCCTCGGGGTGCTCTGGGGCCCAGGGCAGCCTTGCACAGAGGGGAGAGCCCAGCCTGATTCCTGCCTATGGGGTTGGGAGTGGGTAGGGACTTCCCTTCACAGAATTTCCAAGTTCCGGGGTGGTGGTGGTGGTGTTGCCATGTGAGTGGGGAGACCTCCCACTGCACGAGGACCATGGAGTGGAGAAGAACAAGGGGCTCGCTGTGCCGTCCCCTCCAGGTGGACCCTTCAGCCTGGCGAGAGCGATCGGTGGTGAGGGGTTGCCTCACCAGGGGCAGTGTGTCTTGCTTCTGCCTGGTCCCTCTGGGACTCCTCCTCTGGCGTAGGTTTAGTTGGAGTGGGGGAACTGTGGGGAGCTGTCCTGGCTCATCCCATCCAGGCCACAGCGAGGAGAGTGCAGACTCGGGGTCTCGCCGCCCCTGGCCGGCTCTGTCCACACCCGGCCCTTTCCTTTTCTGTTCTCTCAGGCTGGAGAGCCGGTGAGTGTGGACAGGCCCACACTCCTCTGTTAACCTCCCCGAGGCTACACCTCAGCTCTCTTGGATGCTGACATATTTGGGTCTTTGAACCATTCATCACTGTCAGCATCTTGTGTGGGTTTCCACTCTTTTCCTCCTAACAGGATGACTTGCTTCATAAGTTCTCAAGGAGTTGGCTTTGTACACTACAGGCATTCAGAATACAAGTTGCGGTCAGTTCCTCCTTCTGACCTGCCCCCCCTCACCCCCACCCCCTGTGAGTGCCGCAAAGACCCCTTGGGCAGCACATTGCAGTGCGTGACTTAGTTCCTCAGGCACCCGAGGTAGGAAGGGGGGCGTGGGGTGTCTCTGGGACTTCATACAGTGCCTGTCACTGCTTTGGATGGTTTGGGAAGCCAGGGGTGGCAGTATGAGGGAGATAGCGAGTTGTATTTTGAATAAATCATGTTATTGTTATTGATATGCAAATATCAATAACTATCCATACATCCATTATATCATGCGACCTGGACAGTTGTTGGCGTCAATCCCTAAACGTGATCTTTCTTGTTGAGAAGGGCAGTGATTCCGAGACCCCCAGAGAAGAAGCCTGGGGTCTTGGTCCTGTGCCCATCCAGACTGGCTGTGCCCTGGTCCTTCCAGCAGAGTGGCATGCCCCTGTGGGTGTGGGCATGGCATTGCTCCGCCGAGTGCTACCTAGGACCTGGGAGCTGCGTCCCTTGGGCGCTCCCCAAGAACAGTTCTGCCTTCCTGAAGCCAGAAGAGCAAGGAACTGGACGCTGTGACTGAAGGGAGGTTTCCTCAGAAACCGACGCCAGCGGGTCATCCTCACAGGCCCCAGCTCCGTGCTCTCCGGCTGCCGAAGCATTAAGGTGCTTCCCAGTGGGAAGTCACGGTGTCTAGGCTCTCAAGAGCCCTCAGCAGGCTTCAAGAGTCTCTGTATTGGGTGCTTTCCCTTGTGTTTCTGCTTTAACCAAGCAATAGGTAGACGAGAGAACCCTCACCAGCTGCTAACAAACCTGTTGTGTGTGTGCTTTTTCCAAGGTACATGGGGATAGGACTCTCAGCTCACGGCGTCAACATGAACAGACTTCCTGGTGAGTCACTGCTTAAGAGAACATTTGCTCTGCGCTCCTGATGCGTTTTTTGATGAGAGTCATGGTGGCAGCTCAGAGGCAGCACCGGTCTCTGTTTGCTGGCCAGCCCGCCTGCCCCGAGCCATGCCATTGGGTGGAGGATCTCGAAACGCAAGTTGGCCTGGGGTGGGGTGGGCTTCCATCCCAGAATATAGTCAGCAGGTGGTGGTCAGTTGTGGAGTTTGAACTGTGTGCAGTCACAGTCAAGTGACCCGAGCTGGCTCTCCACGGGGACACGCCTCAGTAGCCCGCCCTCTCATTGGCCTGGGGCTGCCGCCAACCCCACACCTTTGTTACTTCACCCTGTTTAAGATCAAAGTCTTCACACGACCTCCCACAAGGTGCAGACCTCCCACATGGTGCATGATTGAAGGGATTTCTTTTTTATGCAGCATTGTATTGGGGGCCCCTTACAAATCTTATGACAACCCATCATTCAGTTATATTAAGCACACTTGTATGTATGTTGCCATCAACATTTCCAAAACATTTTCTTTCTACTTGAGGCCTTGGTATCAGCTCCTCTTTTTGACCTCTCCCAACCTCATGAATGCTTGATCAATTATATATTGTTGTTGTTGTTTTGAGTCTTACACTGTCCGCTGTCTCCCTTCATCCACATTTCTGTTATTCGTCCCCCTGGGGGGTGGGCTATAGATCCTCCCTTTGATGGGTTCCCCCCTTTGCCCCCTTCTCCCCCTCACCTCCAACATCCCTCTACCCTCATGATACCCTTACTCCTACTACTGTTTTTTGTGGGTTTTTTTTCATGAACTTTGCTGAGATATTCTCATTTTTTAATCATTTTATTGGGGGCTCTTACAGCTCTATCACAACCCATCCATCCTTCCTTTGTGTCAAGCACATTTGTACATATGTTGCCATCATCATTTTCATAACATTTCTTTCTGTGAGCCCTTGCCCACTACTGTTCCCGGGGAGCTTATCTGTCCTGAATTCCATGTGTCAAGAGCTCTTATCTGTACCAGTGTGTGTACTCCGGTCTAGCCAGATTTGTAAGGTAGAACTGGGTCATGGTAGTGGGGGAGGGAAACATTCAGGAACTAGAAGAATGATGTGTGTCTCGTCAGCGCAATACTGCACCCTGGTTGAATCGTCCCTTCCTTGTAACCCTTCTGTGGGAGGGATGTCCAATTGTCCACAGATGGACTTTGGGTCTCCACTCCAACCCCATCATTCACATTGATATAATTGTTTATTTTGGATCTTGTGATCCTGATCCCTGATCCCTTTAACACCTCATGGTCACAGGCTGGTGTGCATTTTCCACGTGGGCTTATTTGCTTCCCTGCTAGATGCTGCTTGTTTACCTTCAAGCTTTTAAGACCCCAGGCACTGTATCTTTTGATAGCCGGGCACCATCAGCTTTCTTCACCTCATTTGCTTATCACCCACTTTGTCTTCAGGGATCGTGTCGGGAAGGTGAGCATCACAGAGTGCCAGGTTATTAGAACAAAGAGTTCTGTGTTTAAGGAGGCCTTGAGTAGAGTCCCAAAGTCCGTCTCCTTTCTTAATACTTAACATATAAATATATGTGCATTGGCTTCTATCCTTTTCATTGTAAATTATACTTACATGTATACATGCCTATAACAATACCTCTATAAATAGTTTTGCTTCCTACTTCTTTCCTGTAATTTCCTTCCACCTTCCTCCTTTCCAACCACCATGCCCACCCTCCACTCGGCTCTCAGTAATTCCTCTGAGAATACACTGCACTTGATCAAACCCCACCAGGCCTCCTTGCCATAATTTTTAGATATCTTGTTTTTCCCTCATCTACCAGTTTGTTGGATCCCGATCCCCCTCCCCACCCCATACTCTCCTATTACCCCCACCCCTCAAGACCACCAGTCCCATTGTTTTCTCCTCAGGATTGTTAGTCCTGCCTATCTTATATAGACAGACATAGGGCAAAAGAGAAAAAAAAAAGGATTAAGATAGTTCCAGGCTGACCCTTCTGAGTGTTTTCCGATTGGGTCTTAAGAAGTGCCAGCCCTGTCCCCGAGTCAGAAGTCTGTTTTCAGGGTTCTTCGGGGACTTGGCTACTTTGCTCCCCTTGCTGCCCTGTTGCTCTCCCTTCTCGTTTCACCCCGCTGTGCGTGGGGCAGACTGGGCATACTGCCCGCACAGTGTCTCCGGTGCTGTCTCCCTTAGTGCTATGGGTCAGTGAGGGGAGGTCGTGTCTTGTGGTGGGGCCGGCCCTACGGTCCTCTCTGCATTGGCTGCTCTGAGCAGGGATATCATCGCCGGGGCTTGGTGGGCCAGGATGAAGTTCTCTCTCATTCTCTCCCTCTTATTTTGCACCCGTGTGTCCTGGACTTAACCCATGACTCTCCCTGGGCTATATCTTCAGTGCTATCCTCTGTATTACATACTTCTGGGCAGGGGGTCAACATAGCTCCTCTTGGGCCCGGCCCCGTTGTGCTGTGAGTGTGATGCTCCATGCCAGTATGTTGCCCTCAAGGCTTGGCACTTTGGGATGGGGTCTGGTCCCTGTCTCTGAAGGGATTTCCTAATACAGAGGAGGCTTTGAGCAAGATTCGGGTTTGATGGGAGCCTCCGATGAGCAGGGTGCTCTGGGCTCTGCAGATGGGCCTCCTCTACCACCCGCATGACCTTTCAGCTGCCCTCTGCCCAGCATTCAGACCCAGTTCTGACCAGGGACAGAAGCTTCTCCACCGTGAGCTGGTGGTCCACAAGGTGGTCCCCAGCCCATTTATTTCTTGGGTGCCAGGAATGACGTGGCGTAAGGTGTCCTGAAACCTTCAAGGGACAGACATAGCCCTAGAGTTCCTTTGCCCTGGCCCTCCACTCATGGTGCCTAGGACACAGGCCATTGGCTTTCTCAAGAGATCATGGCACAAACTGTACACTGTCTGATCTATGTCTAATAGCAGCGTCAGATTTTTTCTAATGGTTGGATTTCAAAGACTCGAAACACAGTCTTTTTTGGGGCGCAGCTCCTTGTGACGATCCGTATGTTGTCCCAGCTTCTCCGGGCCCTGATCTGAGTGGCACCTGCTCTTCGGTGTGAATGAGTACGTGCGTGGTGGCACGGTTTGTGTGACTTCCTTGTATAAGGTGTGGCTGAGGTCTTTATTAAAGTGTTCTGGCCTCAGCCAAACAGGTGTGCCCAGTGTGGCCAGCTCTGTCTCCAGAAACAAGCAGCTTAAGAGAAAAATGACTTCCTGTCCACCGGAAGCCAACTCTTGGTCTTGGTCCTCTTTCAGCAGTCAAGGTGCTCTTGGGATGGAGAAAAGAGGCATTTCCAGGCTCCGTCTAGGGAGCCTTCCTGGCGTAGCTGTGATCCGCAAGGTGACCAGTTCAAAGCCACCAGCTGACCCTCGGGAGAAAAATGGACTTTCTGTTGCACAGTCTTGGAAACCCAGGGGTGGTTGGTTGCACCCTGTCCTACGGGGTCACTATGGGTGGGCACCAACTTGGTGGCAGTGAGATGTAGGTTTAGTCTACATAAGTAACTATCGGCACGGCAGTTAAAAAACCCCCAATACTCGTTGTTTGCTGCCATAGGAAGACTGAGGCGGCCTTTGATGACTGGAGCTCACCTCTAGGCTGTACCGTGAGGTAAGAGAGGCAAGGCTTAGAGCAGCAGCGTGCAACCAGGTAGGCCGGAAGGGGCAGGCAAGGCAGACACATCTATGCCCGCTTGTGTGCAGAGCATCCTTGGGAAGCTGCAGAGAAATTTAGAGTCTTGACCATCCCTCGTGAAGGGACAGGGTGGCGAGAAGTCAGTTTGCACGCTTTGGGATTTTCTTTCTTTGTGAATATTGTTGAGACGACCCTGGCTCATAGCGACCTTGTGTGTTTGCGCAGAACGAAACCTACACTGTGACTCTAAGAGAGTGTTCCTCACAAAGCGGGTCCAACACCAGATAAGCAAGAGCATCCGAGGCACCCTCCCCCTGTGGCTCTCCCTCCGGTGGTCTTGGGATTTGACCGTGGCCATGCACTGCCCTGGCCTGGCTGTCCTGAGTTCCACCTGCACACTCACACACACCCAGTGTCAACCATGTGTCCCTGAGCCTTAGGGGTTTGGATCCAGGGGGCGGAGCAGACCAGATGGCAGGGGCTTGGCCTGGGCTCGCCAGAACCCCTCCGAGGTGAAGCAGGTAGAGTTGCCCTGGTCTGCTTCCCTTCATCTGAGCGTCCTGGGCTCACCTGAGGCCAGGTCCTTGGCCCCTTTGAGTGTGAAATGGTGGGAAAACCCGTATGGGGCCCTTCAGAAGTTGACCTGGATGACGGACCCGTGAGAGGAGCAGGGGCTTGGAGTCAGCGGAGGATGCCTGGTTGCTCCCCTCACTTTTGGCAGAAGACTGGGGTCCAGTGGCATGGTGCTCCTCTCTGTGGCCCCTTGTCTGCCAGCCCTGGGCCGCTGCTTCCTGCCCTGCCCGATCAGCTCCTGATTCTTCCTCACGGTGGGAAGGACCCATCAGATGGCATCTGGGTCGTGCTTCTCCCTGAGAAGGACAGAGGCCCCTGGATGGACCGGCTCAGTGGCTGGGCAAACCTATTACTGGCCACACAGCGATCGGGTAGAGGGCACCCCGCTCGCTCCGGCCCAGTGTCGGGGTTGAGATGAGGTCCCGTTGGGCACTCTGCCCTCCACGCTCTGGGGCACTTCTTCCTCTTCACCACTGCTGGTGCCTCCCTTCTCCAGGGCATCACCATTCGCTGGCTGGGCTAGAAGCCACGTGGGTGAGCCTGGCTGCTTGGGTGCTTGGGGGAGCCTCTTGAGGGGTTCTGCCTGGATCAGCTTGTGAGTGGGACAGAGGATAGCAGCGGGAATCCTTTCTGCCAGTAGCATCCAGTTCTCGAGGCCCCTGGGTCGAGATGGTGGCTGGTCGGGCTGTGTGGCCGAGGAGCGCAGATGTTGAGACTTGGTTTGGCGCTAACTCCACACAGTGGTGGGAGGGCTG